AAAAAAAAAAAAAAAAAAGAAGAAGAAGAAGAAGAAAGAAAAGTGATCAGCAACAGATCCAAATCTCACTCAAAAGCTTGCTTTAATCGGATCGAGGATTTAGCTCAGTGGCACTGTGACTGCCTCACAAGCACAAGGTCCTGAGTTCAATCCACCAGGTACCCCCCCACACACACACACACTTGTTTTGGGTAGGCTTTACATGGGCTGCATCTCAGTGTGAAAAGACAAATGTAGAACCAGGCTGGGCTTGGGGACTGGCCTAAGGGAGGCTAGTGAGAGTCTGCTTTGTGCTGGTGTTCAGAGAGGAAGCATCTAGGTCCTAGATCCTGGGGGAATAAGGAATAATATTATCTGACCTCTTTGCCCCTATGAAGAAAACAAATGTTGCCCATGTTACCTGGGCAATGACCCATACCGCACTTGGAGGACAAGACCTTACAACAGCTCCTACTGGAACAAGTATACTACCTGCCTTCCTCGACTGCCTAAGGTACCCACTGTGCCCACCACAGAGGCCCAGGGTCTGCTCTCCCACACGCGTACCATATTCCAATCCTTTCTCATGAACAGTGCTCCAGGGCTCTCCCCATCTGTGAAGCTAGAGCTTCTATTTTTTAGCTGAAAACAGGGTCCAGAAATGTGACCTTGATGGGCCCCCCGGGTCCCAGTCTCTGACTGGGTTCTATGGGGACTTGTTTGGTGTGCACTCCTTGACATACTACCTTCTTGAAGCTTGCCTAAAGACCCCTCCCAGTCTGGTCTGACCTCAGGAGCCAATTATGAGTTGGGTCTCCCTGCTCCACTCTTCTTTGTGATGTGAGCAAGGGCAAACAGCAGGACAGCAAGGCAACTAAATAGAAAGCAAATATAGGAGACTCTGCCAAGGAGGTAAGAGGGAGTTCCGTCCCAGGTCCAAGCCCATTACCGGGAAAGGGATAGGATCTAAGGCCAGAGATGCCTAACTGTAGGCTGATGGCTGACCGAACACTGGAATTAGAACTTCCTTGAACATCAGAAATGTTCACAAGTTCCCTTGATATTGATGGGCAAGCAATATTGAAAGCCTCCTATTAGAAAGACACCCAGGCACAGCTAGACATAGAGGGGATAAAATCAAAGGCAAAAGCTGAAGCGAGGGCCTGGGATTTAGCTCAGAGGTGCTGCCGCCTGCCTCGCAAGAGCAAGGACCCAAGTTCGATCCCCGGTACAAAAAAAAAAAAAAACTGAAGGGGGCGGAGTGCTAGACATAGAGGGGATAAAATCAAAGGCAAAAGCTGAAGCGAGGGCCTGGGATTTAGCTCAGAGGTGCTGCCGCCTGCCTCGCAAGAGCAAGGACCCAAGTTCGATCCCCGGTACAAAAAAAAAAAAAAGCTGAAGCGGTGGCGGGAACTCCCTCCACCCCAGCCCTCCCCACCTGGCCCCGCCCCCGCGTGAGGAGTAAAAGCGTTGCTCAGCGACAAAGCCAAACAATCCAAGGGGTAGAAGAGCTAGCTGCTGAAGGGCGGGAAAAGCGCCGCCAGGGGATCGGTCTGGGTGTTCTGGAAACAACTTCGTGTCAGAGCTTGAGGTAGCGTGTGTGCCACTTCCAGGAGGCCGGGATGGAGACAGCAGTTCGAGGAATGCCTTTAGAGTGCCCTCCGAAGCCGGAGCGCCTCAATACACACGGTAAAGGGTGGCCAGGCCTCTCAGAGGAGAGCAGTGGTTGCCGAGAGCTGGTGGAGGCGGCGGAGAAAGGGAGGGCCGGAGAACTAGGGGACAGGGCGGAGGGCGAGGGTCCTGGACAGGGTGTGTAACTGTCTCTACCTGTCCCGTTTTCGCCTCTGCTTCTCACTGTCTCGGACCCTGCCCCTTCCTACCCCTGTGACTGTGTCTCTGGGTCTCCTGGACTCGACCTGCGGGCGCAGAGCGCGACGTGGTGGTGAATATGCTGAACTCGCTGTGCGGGATGGACTATTGCGCCTCCGGGCCGCCGTGCACCGAACGCCACCACCTGCGGGCTCTGTGCCCAGAGCAGCCGACTGTAAGGTTCGCGGGGAACCGCCGGTCTCGGCGACCTCCGTCCCCACGCGAGCCTCGCCTCGCTGGGCCCCACGTGCTCCTCCCAGCTCAGTGTTTTGTTTTGTTTTGTTTTTGAGACGGGGGTCTCACGATGTAGTTCAGGTTGGCCTTGAACTCACTATGTAGCCCAGACTGGCTTCGAACTCGTGGCAATTCTCCTGCCTCAACCTCCCGAGTGTTGAGATTACAGGCGCGCACCTCCGCGCCAGGCTTTCCACTCCCAGTTTCTATCCCTGCCCCGCCTCCGTTGCCAACCCCTTCTCTGGCTCAAACCTGGCTCCTCTGGCTCAAAGAGCCCCGCTGTGTCCTGCCCTCGGGCTTCAGGACTCTAGCAGACACCTGAAATGGAGAACCCGGCCCTGTCACCCCCAAATCGGGCTCAATAGCAACCTGGCCCTGGTGCATGCTCTAGAGGACCTGCCATACAGAGTTTTTGAGGATTTGAGCCCCCACACTCTAGTCTCATCCTCTTTCCTACCCATCAGCCCTGACCCCTATCTAGATACATGTTCCTGAGACGCAGGTTCGAGCCTGCAAAATGCCTTGTGTTTGCAGAAAAAACGAGATCATTGTTGGGAGAATGAGCCAGCAAAATGGTGACTGCTTTCCCAAAGCGGTCTTGGTTTCCTCAGGGCCCCGCACCCCTCTGAGACAGGCATCCTTGCGCGTTACTGCTAAGGAAACTGAGGCCCGAGCCCAGACCTCAGCATCGCGGCACTTGTCCTCCACTTGGTGCAGAGGAGACAGGCCAAGCTTGGGAGAAATCTTAACTCTATGGCAGTTTATACAGCCGTGCAGAGGGGATCTAGTCCCCATGCTAGTCCTCTGCCCCTCCTCAAGCCGGGAAAGCCCGATTCATTTTGTGACACTGGGTCCTATCCCTCACAAGCTAATGGGGGTGTCGAAAAGTGCCTCAGACGCTCAGAAACGCTGCCTTCTCTGTGGGTTTGGAGAAATTGCTGTCCCATGGCAGGGATCTGAGGAACCCAAGTCCTCAACGACTGCAGTTGGACCGTCCCTAGAATCCAGCAAGCCCACACCCTGCCCTAGGCAGCAGAAATTAGGCCTCAAGGGGAGGGGACATCTAGGACATCCTCCCGGAGGCGGTGCCACAGTGGGGTCTTGAAGGGCAAGAAAGAAGGAGGGGATCCCAGAGCTGTAAGATTGATACTTGAAGAGCCCCAAGGTGCCTGGTCTGAACTGTGGGGATACGAGGGTATCAAAAGGTCCGATCTTCCCCTGCCCACCACTTGCTTCCCCAGGAGTGTATCACCCTACGAGCACAGGGCCGGAATGCATTGTGCTGTTACAACTCCCCTGCCGTCATATTACCCATATCCGAACCTTAGGTAAGTCTGGTGCACACAGATATTTGATTCACACACACGCACACACACACACACGCACGCACGCACACATGCAAGCACATTGGAAGCTGTTTCCTTAGCATGGTGGTGGAAGGGAACTAGTTTGGGTGGGAAGTGTCACCAGGGGGCGCTAGTGCCATGAGGAAGTCAAACCGGCAAGTGCATGGAGAACCCTAGGAAGAGGGCAAGGAGGTCATTATTTCTGGGTTAGTTAGCGGTGGACTTACATTCAAGGACGTTGGTTCAGGGCTTGAAGTAAAAGATAAGTAGTCAAGCTAGGGAGTGTGCATTGGGTGTCAGAAATTTAACAGTAAACCTGAGGTCAGGAGGTCATTCTTGGCCATGTCCCAGCCCAGAGCTAGTGTTAGTGGCAAAATGTTGAGATAAATTTGGCACTGAGAATTACAGTCAGATGTTCACTTTGAAGTATAATGGTCCATAAGGGCTGACCCATCTCTCCCTGCAGATGGGACACAAGTCACTTCAAGAAGACCGGTGGTCCCCAGAGAAACAACTATGTCGTCCACCCAGAGTTTGTGTCCGATACCTATCCCAACTATTGTTGCTGTTAGGCCTGGGCTGGCCAGGCTAAGGGGGTAGAGCAATAAATTCTTCTCCCCAAGGGCTGCCTCCTGTGTCCTTTCCCAGGAAGATCTGGAAGAGAGAGGACGGTTTCTCAAAGTCACCCAGCCCTGAACCCATCCCATGATTTCCCTGAGTGCTTTCCTGATACATAACAGTAATCCAGCTAGTGTTCTCCTCCCCTCCACTCTACAGCCTCGAGTCCACCCATCCACATAGAAAGGACCCATCTACTTCCCACTCCCACGAAGACCCACCTAGTTGACATTTCCCCAGTGTGCCCCCAAAATATGCTTCTCAGAGGACAGATAATCCTCCCTTCTGCAGTGAAAGCTGTGTTTCAAAATGCTTGCTTCCTGCTTTCAGAGTCTCTGTTATGGTCTCCCAAAAGTCTCCCCCACCCAAAGCATAAGGAATCTGAAACAATTTTCTAGAGTCTCATGACCGAGAAATTTCAGATTGTGAAAGAAAGCCATTATCTTGCCCCTCACAGATGTTCTGATATCTCTAGGATTCTTCAGTATTTTCCTTTCTCTATTAAAGATGTGAAATCTGAGACTTCCATCACCCTTGATCCCTGGGAAGGGGTATAAAGGGCATGCCCACCTCTTCCCTACTCTCTTTAACTAAAAGCTGTCACTAAAAGGAGGGACTGGAACCCATAAATTACTAGGTAGGGGCGGGGGCGGGGGGTGTTGTAAAACACTGAGCAGAAACTCGTCTTCTGACCTAGGATTTTGCTGGTCTGGTCCAGTGGGCTTGGACAGTCAAAGCCATTAGTTGAAAAGACAAGCTCCCCCTTTGGGGCTCTTCACTGGAAATCTCCTGCAGTGGGAGCTGATATCCTCCCAGAACTGCGCTACTTCTTTTCCATGTGAGAAAACGGGTCGGCTGTGGCTGTCATACACATCCCAAAAAAGGAAGGGCAAGAACCCCAACATTCTGCATCTGCTCCTTCCCCAAGAACTACATTTCCCGACAGGCCTGGGATCAGTCCCGCCCGCTCGCCGGTAAACAGCGGCCCGGAGGGGCTAGTCCCCCGGGGGGCGGAACCCAGAGGCACCGGCTAGGGCTGGCCTGCGAGGCCAGGGGCAGGGCCTAGGGCAGTAGAGACGAAGGTGAGGACTAAGGGGTGGGACTTCAGGTCCCGCAAAGTTGTGGAGGGAGGGGCGGTGCCAGGGGCGGGGCTGGAGGGGGAC